CAACAAGCCTTCAGAGCTTCACACTTTCTTACCATCGAACTCATTGCCCGTCAAACGATTTTACGAGGAAAAATGTCTCCCACGATGCAACTCGCGCCCCACACCACCACCTACACTCCCACCTCTGATGCCATGGACCGTCACGAGTACGGCGTTACCAAGAACCGCAAGGCGGCTTCGACTGGAGGAGGCCGAGCATGGAGCGAGGACGAGGTACGTGACACCAAGCTGGGGAAGGGAGCTTACACACACGTATACCACCACCCCCTTACGTGGCTGTGTGGCCCCAAGCGTCCCTTCGTCTCGGCATTATGTGTGGTTTGATGACTGTTCTAACACGAGAAACAGGAAGTTTATCTCCTCCAGACCCGTCTCCAGAAGATGCCCTACAAGCACATTGCCGCTCACTTGAAGAAGACCGAGCTGGCTTGCCGCCTGCACTACCACCAGCTTAGCCACGGCAGCAACCGCCGCAAGCAGCGCACGACTTCGGTCTCGTCTGGTTCCTCCGCGAACCACTCCCCTGTCATGCAGCCCACGATGCCCTCCCCGATCCGAGAGTCGACTCCTCGCTCCGTTTCTCCCCCGGGCAGCTCGCACAGCTTCGCGCCTGTCTCGCCCGCTCCCATGCAACTGCCCAGCATCATGGGCCACGGCGCCTCGCCGCGTCTCCCCGCCATCCTCCCCAAGCCGGTGTGCATGACTCTGCCGCCCCGTACCGCCTCTCCCTCGAGAGGATATCCCACTCCCCTCCCGGAGCCTCACAGCGCGGCCCTCCCCTCCGCCTCCTTCCAGTCCATGTCCAGCAGCCTCCCCATGACGCCCCCGCTGCGTCTGGAGTGCACGCTGCCCGCCCCTCAGCAACCTCCCGTCAACCACCAGCACGTTGATATGAACCGCCTCCAAAACGTATACACTGCCCACCGCGCCTCCTTCTGGGCCGCCGTCGCCAACGACTACGGCCCGGGTGCCAACCCCGTCGTCCTCGAGTCCGCTTGGAAGAACGGCTCCTGCTGCAACCAGGCTAGCACGCCCATCACCCCGACCTCCAGCCCGGATAACATGGACCGTGACACCTACGGCAAGCCCCAGGACAAGACTCGCATCTCTGCGATTCTCGGCATCGACGCCAACCCCCGCTCTCCCCGCGAGCGCGAGCTCGTCAGGCGCATGGAGGAAGAGAGAGTCGGAGCCTAGATAATCATCATCATCATGGCCTTCCGCACTCCAACGACAAGAAATTCTCTTCTATCAGTGTATTACTTCATACCTTTTTGTGTCTGATTCTTGCTTGAGGTTCTGCTTCTTCCTGATGTGAGCACAAGAAGACTTAACAGCATCGAGCCACACAGCCCTGTTCTTCGCTTCTGCTGGCCGACTCCTTCGGGAGTCTGATCTATTTTCTGACGCTTCTTCTGTTGTCCGTTCTTTGGTCTCTTTTTCACTTTTCCACTTTTTCGGTTGTCAAGTTGCTTTTCGCGCCAATTTCGAATTCCACCACACACATCGCACACGAACACACATACGACTGGGAGGCTGCAGGGGACGGTGGGTGACATTCGGCGCAGGAAAAGGAGGGGTGGTCTGCGGACTGGGGAACAGAGTCTGCATTTCTTTTTCTTTTTCAACAACAGGTCCCTTATCCCAAGGGATCATCAGAGTCTACTCGACTCATGCGAGGGTTATCTTGGTGCCAGCAATTGAGCGGTTGGGCTGGCTGGCGGCGACAGTGCGGAGGTATTTTACACTTCTTCTTTTCATCTTCTCGGGGAGGCATCTTTTTACCGACACCCATTGCAGAAATGAAGTGATGACAAAACAAATCCACACACACGCACACACACCTCGCATGCATACAAACATGGCTTTCATCGTCCATTGCCCGTATGGCTTGCGTTTTTTTGTACACTAGAGCGGTTAACCCATCCGGGGTTCCGCAAGAGGGAACTATCATGCAGACGACGATTGTGTTTTTTTCTCATTTTTTTTTACTTTTTCAAAACGGCGAATTGAAGGAATCAGAGTTTTGAGAAACAACTTTTGCTCTCTCGTGCGTGCATGTGTTCTGTGTCCGCCCATATCCCCCTTGCTACAATGATGCTACAAATAGTGAAGAGAAAACATGAGCCATGGCGGTGAGATGACGATGATCAGTCGCAAGTCGTCTAAGCGTGGCGTTTGGCACTTGAATCCTTCCACACATCAAAGAGACTGGACGATTAAATCGAGGGTGTCAAGATACTGTGCTATCTTTAGGTGCCGGCTTGAGACCAGTGCTATCGTTGAGTTTTTGGAGTGAGAGGGTGCTTTGATCAAGTTCCAGGACTTGCTTCAAAGATCAAAACGTCCCTACATCAAACGGTTTTTGGTTGATGAGTGAGAGGGAAGGAGAGAGCATGCGGCTACATCGGCAAATATTCCCACGGGAAAATACTGCTTGGACACTATATTCCAGACAAAAACTACGTACATGGTGTTGGTGTGTGAAGTTCACGGTGAGTTTGGGAAACGATCAACAAGAGGTGGGTGTGCGTGACATGCTTTTGAGAATCGGGATGAAGATACGTATATGTGGCTGATAGAGCTCGATGAAGCGATTCAAGCCTGCGGCATGTACGTACGGATACATAGTTTTTCGTATCCCTCGCCTCCTGATGCGCAAGTCTCGGTTACAACCCGTCGCAAGGTGTCCGCTCACCACCACACGGCACCACACCCCCCAACCACGTAAACCTTCTTTTCTCCAATCTCTTGAAGCATAAATGGTTTTGGCCTTGTTGGAACAGTCGACCGCCAAGCATTGTCCCTGGAAGCACAGCTCGAGAGGGTGGAAGCTTCGTAATGGGCTGCGCCATCCGTCTGGACTCCGAAACGTGGGATTTTGCTCGCGGTAAAAGAGAGTTGGACGGATAGCTCGGACGACGGCAACGAGTTTACGGTTTTGATTTGTTTTGGCAGATGGACAGATGAACTGCCCTCCCTCCGTCCCCCATTGGTACTTTTCCGACAGCCCGCATGACTTCACTGCCATGATCTGGTCCGGCCGTCGATCCAAACAGAAGAGTCAAACAGAGTGTCATCCCATCCTTGGCCCCTTTGACTTGGTTTAGCCAGATGCTTTCGTCAGGGTGATGCCCGCTCACCGGTGTCCCAACCCTCTGTTACGCAACACGACAAGGTCTTGGCGCGGGCTGCGTTTCCTCTACCTTGGGACGGAGAGGTCACGGAAAGTTTCCATGGCCAATTACGTTTCTTTTCAAAGTGCTCTTGGATGTGTGTGCAAGTCGTGAGAATATGCACAAGCGCCGCACGCGATACACACGAGTGCAGCAGTGAGAGGGGGGCGGAAACGAGGATGCATCAATACTGCAACGCCCAGACGCGGGCTGAGGTCTCTCTTGAGATCTTTGAGCTAAGCTTGGATGCGGGGAAGCGGGACAGGCGGAGAGTCCGTCGAGATGCAGCTGGTTCGCGGCGTTCGACACCGAAGATCGGACCGCCCAGACACGTAGTCACGATGCGAGTCTGCCACTGGGTTCGCCAAGTTGCCTCTCACTCGGGCTGGCTCTGGAACCCGGCGGTCTCTCGGGCGGGATGCCTACGCTTCCCCGAGTGAGCAGCCTTGCAAGCAAGCAAGCGCTCTGGATGAGTCTTACGACTACCCATGTTCAAGTGTTGCTGCGAATGGCTGTTGCAGCAAATGCCCTTCTGCCAAGTCTCCAAATCCAGAAAGAACGACTGGGTGCTTAAAAGACCCCACCTGCTGTAACTAACACGACACTGAAATACCTTTGCCGTGATTGGACGCTGCTTCTGTGGAGAAGACTCATAGCTGCAGCACATCTCCCACAACTTCTGGACGACGACACTGGACGCCATTCAAAAACAACGTATGCATCTACTTTCAGATGCTTACAACAGCACAACGCCCAAAAGACTCTTGCGGCTAGCTGATGCCGCTAAAAGGAGCTAAGAAAGACAGGACGCTCCGCAAGCAAAGTTGTTTGCTGTCTGGCTCCTCCTCATCGGCTCAATGCCATCCAATCAACCCACTCCGCCGTCCGTACTCCCAGCTCGTTAAGCTACATGCAGGTCTAGCAACATGAATAACCTACGGTTTTGTGATGCCGATGGCGGAGTCGGGCAACAATACTGCGTATGTCGGAGAGAACGCCGTAAGAAACAATGCTGCTCGTCTTCAAGCGTCGACGATGGCATCTTGACTTCAGATGCCTGTCGACTCCGGAATAGCCAGTGCTATTTCCGCAACTCATCTCCCGTCTCCCAATTCCTTTTTCCGTGTCCCTCTCCCCCGTTACCCCTCCATCCAATCCAATTCTCCTACTCATGGACCAACAAAAATAAAAGTCAATTGACTTTGGCTGCTCCCCACTCCCGCCCGCGGACAGCACCCCGATTCCCCCCTCCGATGAAAGCTGGGATCACCCGACGACTCTGGACCCGGCCTCGAGCGCGTCGGCAGCTCTCCCAATAGAAATGCACACAATAAGCAGCAGCTCCAGGTTTTCCAAGGGGGGATCTCTCCCGAGCGGATCTGTCCCCCCGACCTTTGGTGGGGGAGGGAGAGCGCCGTAGCCTGTGATGCGAAAGTCGGGTGCTTCTCCCCCGCCTTTGGAGAGCTTTCCTCTCTTTCCTCTGCTGTTTGTTGCTGCGAGAAACAGAGTTCAAATAAAGTCACTGCCCCCCCGTTCGCCTCACCATCGTCCCACACGATTCTACCTAGTAGATGCCTCCTTCATAATACCCCACGACTCGTTGACGACATCGTCTTCCTTACACCAACAGACGACGCCCTACCTCGGCAAACATACACAGCCGACTTCGAGGCCACAGTCCAATCTTTCCCTCACTCTCTCTTCCCCCGCGACGTAAAACCAACACACCAACCTGACTGAAACACCTCACCAACGACGCAGCTCGAAACGCCCCAGCCTCGAACGAACGAACAAACGAAACAGAAAAGCAAAGCAACCCTCACGATGAGCGCCGAGCAAACAGGCCAAGGCCACGATGGCGGCTACAGCGACACCAGCTACAAGGACAGCGCCGACTACCTGCAGTTCAAGACACTGCCCCCCGGAGGCCCGTTGAACCGCTGGTCTCACGTCTTGACGCGTGAACATGACTTCCCGGGAGCAAAGGCAAGTCAAGACACATTACAGCAACAACCCAACAGGAGGAACCTTCTTTTCAGAGTTGGGCTCTGTGGGAGTTGGGGAATGCGGGGTGGTGGCCGGTGATGTCGTGCGGTGTGTGTGGGAGTGCGGGGTGGTGCACCGCGGGGACCGCGGGGTACACGCGACAGCCTCAGACGAGAGCTGGGACGAGAACCAGAAGCTTACCAAAGGTTGCAGGCCATGCTGTACGGCGCCGGCGTGCCGAACCCGGAGATGATGAAGAATGCGCCGCATGTCGGCATCGCGACGGTGTGGTGGGAGGGCAACCCTTGCAAGTAAGTGACTCCCTGAGCTGTGGTAATGATGCCAGCTAACACGCGATACAGCACACATCGTGAGCATCACTGTGCATCAAGGACACGAACACTGCATGATGGCTGACGGAACAAAGTCCTCGAGTTCGGTAGGATCGTGAAAAAGGCAGTGGAGAAGCAGGGCATGCTCGGCTGGCAGTTTAACACCGTGGGCGTGTCAGACGCTATCACGATGGGCGGCGAAGGTGAGATGCTTCTCTACCAACCAAACAACCCTTTTCATGTCGCAAGCTAACCAAAGCCTCCTCAAGGCATGCGCTACTCCCTTCAGACCCGCGAAATCATCGCCGACAGCATCGAGTCCGTGACAATGGCCCAGCACCACGACGCAAACATCTCCATCCCGGGCTGCGACAAGAACATGCCCGGCACCATCATGGCCGCCGCCCGCCACAACCGCCCCTTCATCATGATCTACGGCGGCACAATCATGAAGGGCCACTCCGACCTCCTCGAGAAGCCCATCAACATCAGCACCTGCTACGAGGCCCGCGGCTCCCTCACCTACAACCGCCTCCACGCAAAGTGCAACCCCGGCGCCGAGGGCCGCACCCCCACCGACGTCATGGAGGACATTGAGCGCCACGCCTGCCCCGGCGCCGGCGCCTGCGGCGGCATGTACACGGCAAACACCATGGCCACCGCCATCGAGGCCATGGGCCTCTCGCTGCCGGGCTCCTCGTCGTACCCGGCCCTCTCCCCCGAAAAGTCCCGCGAGTGCGAGCGCGCTGCCGAGGCCATCAAGATCGTCATGGAGAAGAACATCCGTCCCAGGGACCTCCTGTCCCGCGCCGCCTTCGAAAACGCCCTCGTCCTGACCATGATCCTCGGCGGCTCGACCAACGGCGTGCTGCACTTCCTCGCCATGGCCAACACCGCCGACGTGCCCCTGACGCTCGACGACATCGACCGCACCAGCAACCGCATCCCCTTCATCGCGGACCTGGCCCCGTCGGGCAAGTACTACATGGAGGATCTCTACCGCGTCGGCGGCACCCCCTCCGTCCTCAAGATGCTCGTCGCCGCGAACCTCATCGATGGCTCCATCATGACCGTGACGGGCAAGACCCTCGCCGAGAACGTCGCTGACTGGCCCTCGCTCGACCCGAACCAGAAGATCATCCGCCCGCTGTCCAACCCGATCAAGGCGACGGGCCACCTGCGCATCCTGCGCGGCAATCTCGCCCCGGGCGGCGCCGTCGCTAAGATCACGGGCAAGGAGGGCCTCTCCTTCACCGGCGCCGCGCGCGTCTTCGACAAGGAGCACGAGCTCGACGTCGCGCTGTCCGAGGGCTCCATCAAGCGCGAGGACGGCAACCTCGTGCTGATCGTGCGGTACGAGGGCCCCAAGGGCGGCCCGGGCATGCCGGAGCAGCTGCGCGCGAGCGCGGCCATCATGGGCGCCGGCCTGGACAACGTGGCGCTGGTGACGGACGGGCGGTACAGCGGCGCGTCGCACGGGTTCATCGTGGGCCACGTCGTGCCGGAGGCGGCCGTCGGCGGGCCGATTGCCCTCGTGAGGAACGGCGACAGGGTGACGATCAACGCGGAGACGAACCGGATCGACGCCATTGACGTGGACGAGGCCGAGTTCGCGAGGAGGAGAGCCGAGTGGAAGGCGCCGTTGCCGCATGTGCGGAGGGGCGCGCTGGGCAAGTATGCTCGTCTGGTGGGCGATGCGAGCCACGGTGCTGTTACAGATCAAGCGGATCCCTCATGGTGATGTGTGCCTTATTGTCTGTTGGGTAAGACTTGTTGATACATTTTGGTATAGAATGAGGACATACGCCACGATGCCATTGAGGAGGGAGACAAGAAGCGCATGTGGCAAGGGTGTCCCTTCATCCTAGACTTTGAGAAGGAGGCAACATTGTGGGACCCATGAAGGTTTACGGGATTTATCTGCGGTGGCCCTGGGCATGGCCGTTTCCAAATATCTCACGATACCGGTCCCGGCGCGGCGCCCCATTTTGATAACCATGTAAATGTCAGATATGGTCCAGAAATACCTAGCTGCCACATAATTCCAGCAAGTCAGCCCCCACGAATTATAGCGCCAAAGAATGAGACATACCATACCGGGCCCAAGCCAGTTGATCCCGAATATCAAGTGACAAAAGTCCTGTGAAGAACCTGTGATGTGAAAGTGTAGAGTCTCACGTGCCAAGGGAGGAAGATGCATGCCTCCTAGATGTCCTGCACGGATTAGCTCAACCCATCACCACACAAACCAGGCGGCACTTGAAGACGAGAGATCAGTAGACACGACATATATACCATTTGCGTCGGGCCTTCCTGACCCGACATGCTACTCTAACATTGAAAGTCTTCTCTCTCTCTCTCTTCCCAGAACCAAACATCCCATGTTCGTTGTTTGCATCCCATCCAGCTTGGTATCCTGTGCGCGCGTAACAAGTCTCCATTGGAGTCGTTTCTCTCGTCTCTTGCTCTCTCTCCCGCTGGCCATCGAAAGCGAACTTGACGAGCGAAAAACAACAAAATGATTCTCTCTGGCGTCGGAACTTAATCCGAGCCGAAGCCGTTTCTGTAGCTTTCCACCTCTCTATTTCATGCTTCGCAAGGTTCCCGTGCAGTGTAAAAACAAAACTGATTATGGGCAAAGGCCGGAATACTGTGAACCCTGATAACTCCCAAAAAGAATTTGTGAGCAAAGACCGATACTGGCAATGCCGTTACACCCCCCCGCACGCAGAACATTAATGAGACATCCTCTGGAAAGACCCAGGGAGTCTAAGCGTCTCCGCTTTCATCAATATACAATCCCGTTTTTGGTTTTCGTTTCCACCCAACATTTCGCGCCAGGATATGGATGCGCTGGCCATGACTCGTAACATCGTGTGTGATGTGGTTTGTCGTTTGGGATTACGGGCTGGCCCATCCGCCGGCGACATCAACCCATTCCGCGAGGCAGGATCCCTCCTTGCCCTCGACGTCAACAATGTCAGTGTCGCATCTGCAGCGGCATCCAACACCGTTCTCCTTCTCCGAGTCCCAGTGCTCCCAGTAGTCGTCTTCCTCGAATCGCTTCTTGTCGTCGAGCGTCGTCTTCTCGAGGTAGGGTTCTCTGGGGAGCTGTCGGGCCGGGGCGTTGGCGGGGCAGTGCTGGATGGTCGTGTGTCGGTAGCCGAAGTCTCGGAAGTAGTGGATGTCCTTGGGAGACAGAAGTGCGCCGGCTGCCAAGGAGTGGATGGGGGCGTCACCCCACTGATACTTGTTAGCTTGGGTCAGGCGATCATGCGAGTATTGACTTACGCGTTCCATCCAGAAACCTCCGCTACGGTCCATCATCTCGAAAAAGTCCTCGTATTCCTTGCTGCGGAACCACTTCAAGCTGGCAATCTCAAAGTTGGACCAGAAATGGCACATGTTGTACGATTCGCCCTCCATGGCCTCAGGATCGATCTCGGGCAACGTGTTGCGGTTGGGGTCGCTGCGCAGTACCTCCTCGGGAAGGGGCGTCTGATCGGTCGGCTCCTCCTTCTTCTCGGGGACGGGGTCAACGAACATCTCCCACAGGCCCTTGGACTTGAGACCCTTGAGGCGCTTGTAGGCGGAGGCATATCGGAAGATGTTGGGGACCGTCTCGCGGAGCTCCTTGACAGCAATGGTAAAGCCGTAGGTCTTGTTGGCGTCAATCATGGCCCAGAAAGGGTCGCTGCTCTAGTTAGCAAAGGCATTGCAACTGGTGAGGCTTGGCACATACTAGGTGATGTCGCAGAAGTACTTGATCTCGGGCTCCAGACGCCAGTACCACTCGTACTTCTGGAGGAGCTCGTGCTTGTAGAAGAATCTTTGATATGGTCAGTCATGATTCGCAATCGAGACAATGGGCTGCCGGCTTACCCAGAGTAGAAACGGCACATGGCGTGGTAGCTCTCTAGGCCACCGTACATGACAGCGGCGTCGCCTTGCTTGGCGATACCCTCCTTGGCGACCTTGTGGTCAATCCAGTCAGGGTAGCCCCACATCTCGGGGCCGACCTTGCCAAATTCGACAGGAGCCGAGGTGTAGTTGGTGACGACCTCCTTGAAGGTCTCGTTGAAGTCGCCGTCGTTGAGGAAAACATAGGGGTAGTGGTACCAGCGGTTGAAGTGACGCTCGATAGACTTGATGGACTGGATGACACCGTCCAACTCCTTGTTGCGAGCCAGGACGACGAAAGCGCCGTTGGCCTTGGGTCTGCTCGTATCGGGCTGGAGACATCCGGTGACGAAGACCTTGTCGTGCTCTTCGCTGATTTTCCTGTGCGCCGCCAACGTTAGCTCTCATCAATGCTTTGCAGCGAGTCAAGACATACCTGATGGCCGGAGGAGCGCCGGCGGGCATCAATATCCTGCCAGGAGAGCTGGGGTGTCTGACGAACAGGACGAGGATAAGGATGACGACGATTAGAGGGAAGAGAATGACGACGCCCAGAGGCACCGAAATGCTCGAGTTGCCTCGCAGGCGCAGCGGTCTTCTGAAGAAGGCGAGGCGCGAGGTGAGCCTGTTTTGGCGAGCATGTTTCGTGGTGGGCTTCTCGTCGGCGGTGGGCAGTTGAGGCGATGTCGACGGGATGGCCTTTACGGCTCGCCTAAAGAGATCCATGGCTCAGACGTATCGTCGCCGACGGGTGATTTACTGGGGTAGAGGGCAAGTCGAGAGGCAGATGATATCTGGAGGGATGTCGGGACGAGAGTTGGGATGGCTCCAAGGATGGGGTGGAGGGATTTGGCGTGGCGTCGATTACAGGGTGGTACCTCAGGATAAGGGGGCGGCGATTTCGAATCGAATGCGATGGCCGTGATTATGATTGTGGACGAACACGCGAACCGCGGACAAGAGCAAAGCCGTGTCTAAGGGAAGCAGCGGAAAAAAATTGAATGGCGGGCGATGCGAATTGCGAAGTAGACGTGAACGAGCGGCAGGGACGAAATTTCCCTCGAGCTGGTCGGTGATGGAGGTGGTGTTCAGGTTGGCGAAGAGTGGCACCGAAGACGGTCGATGTGCGACAGGCGGGCTGAACAGATTTCAGAGCAGCACCTTACGCGTCGAGAGCCGGAGTACCTCTTGCGCAGCAGCGACACAGCAGCGGCTGGTTGGGGGGCGAAGAGGATGCGGCAGTCGTATCAGTAGCGGCAGCGACAACGGGAGCAATGTCTCGGTCGTCTTTGTGCTTTGTGACGCTTCGCCTTTGGTGGGAGAGGTGGTCTCGGTGGATGTGTGGTGTGGTAGTGGTGGTGGTGGTGGTGGTGGTGGTGGTGTGGATAGGGGACCGAAAGTCAAAGGGCCTTCAGCGCCTGTCTATCTCTCTCTCTCTCTCTCCGCCCGAAGATCTGACGGGGTGAACCGAGTCTCGAATGTCAATTGCGTCGGGGGGAGGTCTCGGCAGGCGACATAGGTCAGGGGTCTGCGCTGGCAAGTCGGCCGAACGCTGCAGTCGTCGTCAGATCGCGGGAAGATGGTCTTCGAGCTCGAGGGGTCGAAGGTCGAGGTCGAGGAGAAGGTCGAGTTCGGAGGGGTTCGTGGGAAAGGGAAGGGAGTTGGAGTTTAGTTGGCGACGACTCGGGAGGGAAAAGGGAGCCAACTTTTTTTTCGGGGGGTGTGGGAGGAGAAAAAAGCTGACAGATGTCACGGATGGGAGAGTCCAGGCGAAGAGCCGGAGGAGCAGGAAGGGCAGACAGTGGTAGGAATACTATGACAGCAACGCCTCGGACGGGAGAGGTAAGGTAGGTGAGGTAGCGAGATAGGGGACTCTGGGGGACTGTTCATGCGCTGGAAGGGATGGAAGGAAGGGCCACCTTTGTTCCCGGTCCAGTCGAGGCACTTTGGATGGAGGTTTACGGCTACCTACCTCTCTACGGCACTAGTGCGGTTGACGCTGATGTGGACAGCAAGCACAGTTTACTGCGCAAGTATACTACACTACTCGGTATCTGTACAGCAGATGGGATTAGGGGCAGCCCTGGGTGGGTGAGTGACCTGCGTCGATTACCTAATTTTACCTTACCTACTTAACGTTAGGGGATTTGCCCAGCAGGTGCCCAGTCTCCAACATGGCATCCAAGTTCCAACCCACCGACGTGTGCAAGGGGATGGGATTCCACTCTGAAAGTCCAGACTGTTCGCGTCTGCAGCACGACTGGGAAAAGTGGTGGCAGTGGCAGCGGACGTGGGTTGCGCGGAACTGCTGCAACAAGCTGGAGCCAACCAGACCGGGGAGAGGGAAAGCAAGGTGGGGACGAGGGGGCGTCGAGTGGAGCCCTGTTGGCTCAGACACGATGTGTCATTGGAGGAAGCGTCCCGCCAAGACACGCGGAAAGGAGCAAAAGGTGGGGCTTCTCCTTTCTCACGCTTGCTGCCAGGTTCACACTTGCTGCTTGTGTTGCTGCAGGTGGTGCAGGTGCAGGTGCTGGTGCTGGTGCTGGTGCTGGTGTCGAATTCTGGATTTCGGTGCCAACTTTCTGCTTTCCGTCTGCTGTTCTTTTGTTCTGCTGTTGTTCTGTTCTGGTGTATCCGTACCTTACGGGAAGGAAGCCCCGTCCGTCGCTGGGCGTCGGGGTCCTTCCAGACGTGTCCAGAACTCCGGCACCAGCTTCGGTGCAGCGCATTGCGCATTCAATCAGCCGGCATTGCAGCATTGGATTGGCAAGATTGCTCCTTCCTGCTCCCAATCTCACACCCGGAGTCCCTCCTGCTTCCTGCCTCTCGTCCTCCTCCTGCCCTTGTCTCCCGCTCTGTCGCTCCTGTCTGCGCCACGCTTCCCACCTCCCGTCCGTCCAATCGTCGCCCACATATTTCGTGTTTATCCGATCCTCTCCCGACCGTGGCATTCGCATGGAACTCGTTCACCTTCTTGGCCAATCGCGACTGCCAGCGTCACGAGCGTCAAGCATCCATCCTTCTTAGCGCATGCAACGCTCCCGCTCCCGTCATCTCTCCCAAGTTTCCCAACTTAGCAACACCGGGAACAGCTGGTCTCACCTGGGTCCAGCTGCGCCTACCTACTGCGTTACCTACGGAGACAGCCTACCCACCACCGCCAAAAAACCTTGGTTGAACTCGTAGTGTACGGAGGTAAGGTACCGGCACCGGGCACGGCGGGCAGCAACAACGAGATCGGCACGCGGCACGCGACATGCAAACTGAGATAACCATGATTTCAACTTTGTGGATAACTTTGATATAGATAGCACACCTTACACACTTTTTGAGGGGGGACTGTACACGTGTGAGCCTTCCAAGGTAGGCATCCCCGATATCTTACAGATTGGATCGTCATTGCAGCCGAAAGTTAAACATCCATGCCTCTGCCGTGATCCGGTCCAGTTATTGATCCTTGGAGAATATCCTCTTCTCCTCGTATCTCATCCTGTTGAACACCATGCTGTACAGCGGATTCCGCAATGCCAGCGGCACCATATCCACCAGCAGTATCTGCACCAGGTGCGGCCAGTACGGTACCAAAACCGACCGTCCGCATCCCACCCGATCCAGAATGGCGTTGGCGATGGTCTCTACCGATGGCCAGAATAAACGGGGACTCATGAGGTCCGTCTTCGTTGCAACCGCTCCGATCCGCACCCCAATGACCTCCACGTCGATGCCGTCCATCCGCAACTCTCGTGCCATGGACGCCGATATCGAGTTGACGTATGACTTGCTTCCAGAGTAGAAGGACAACAGAGGCCAGCCTCCATCGGCCAACGAGCCCACGTTGATGATGAGCGCAGGCTCTGCACTGCTCGAAAAACGCGGGATCATGATGGCATTGAGTATCGTCGGGAAAAGCGCATTCATGTGTACGTTGGCCGCGATGTCTTCCATCGAGGATTCGTCCAGCCGCCGCATCATCGGCATCTGACCACATCCGCCAACATTGTTGATGAGAACCCTCAGGTTGAGATTTTCAAGCGGAGCCAGCATCAAGTCCCACGACTCGGATCCAGATCCCAGCACTCCTGCGTCGCCGACCATGATCCTAAACTCCCGCTCCGGGTGCCTCAGTGCGAGTTTGTGCCTCACTTCCTCCAGCTTGACATCGTTACGCCCGTGCAAGACAACATTGAAGCCTCTGTGTGCAAGCTCATTTGCAAGCCCTTTGCCAATGCCGTCACTGGCTCCCGTCACCAGCGCCCACGCAGGCTTTCCGTTGACGGCCTTGAGGTAGCGATCAAGCTTCGGCTTGTTGAAGAAGGGAAGCAGAAACCAACCGACGTTATATACTGCAATCAGGAGGGAAAATAGCCCTAATGTCCGGAGAAAATCCTGTGAGTCCATACTGAAGACGTATCGTGTCACGAAGGGGAGAGATAGAGAGGACAGCGAAGGAGGAATTTTGGCCCTACAGTCAATTGTTTCCATCCACCACCTTTTAAGATGTTTGAAAAATACAAACCATACATGTGAAGGGGCCAAGCAGACGTCATGAATTCGATCAAACGGTCGAATTGACTCTGGGATACAGGGATGGCCAAACCAGGCCAAACACTCCAGCTTCATGCTTTGCGGAGGGAATGTGGCCATCCGAGGGTACGAGACCGAGTCGTCCGTGATACGGATACGCTTTCTCGGAACATCGACATTCCCACATTCCCATCAGGAGCTCCGAGCAGCCCGCAGGATCTGTCGGCGGCCTGGGCTGCCTATATAGGTTTTCAGCAAACTACGAGTTAGGCTGAACTCTGATTCGATGCCCTCCTTACTGCGACCACTTTGCCTGAACCGCCAGGCGCACATGCGGAGAGCGTTGATATCAGACGGAAACCGAACTGGCAGCTTGAGAGAAGGCCCAGCATATTTGCATGGGGGGTGGTATACAATGTCTGTACATACAAATCGCCAAGAAGTAATGGTACAATCGAGCTTTATTTTCGTTTTCATCCCCTTCAGCATCCTCAACTACTGGTGTAGAACAGTAGTTTAGAAAAGGAGGTTCTCCTTGGAAACCACCTTCTCCTCCTTCTTCTGCACCTTGACCTTTCCTGTACGCTTCTTTGGCACGGGGACCTTGAAGTACAAACTGGGCGACTCGCCCTGCTTCAGCAAGTGGCTCAGGTATCCGCGGTGGGCGGGGTCGCGGTAGTACTCGATATCGGAACGGCTCGTGGGATCGGGAAGTCTGTAGAGGAAAGGTTTGCTGCGGGCCGTCTCGAGGTAGGCCTCGACGTGCTCCTTGCCGAGGGGCAGCGGTTTGTCGGTGTTCTCACTCTGTCCGGCCAAGAGGCGCTTGATGGACTGTCTGGTGTAGAACCTCGTGAGGATCTTGCCGCCAGCGTTCTCGACAGCCTCGATGGCCGAGGCGGAGGCGCGGGAGACCATGATATCAAGGGGCTGGCGGAGCTCCTCCTTGCCGCGGGCGAGCAGCTTGATTCCGTCCTTGACGCTGCCAATAAGACCCGACTCAATAATCTCCTTCACGGTGATCTGCTTGGTGGGATCCAGGCGGCCGGCGTCGATCCACTCCTGGAGCTTGTCGAGATTGACTTTGGACATGATGGGCGCGCGCCTGCCTTCTGTTAGCTTCTAGCCCCGACGTGAACATGCATTGTCGTATTTCGAGCGCAATTGATGTGCCAGGCCACACGTACAAGTTGTCGAAACCCTTTCTTCCCTTCTGCACAATCAAATGTGTCTGACCACCCTGGAACCAAGGTTTGACGTGGCCATGCTGCTTCTGACCCTTGTGACCTCTACCAGACGTCTTGCCCTTGCCGGCGGAGGGACCTCGACCGACTCGAATGCGCTTGTTGTAAGCTGCCCGGTTGTCCCTCAGGTTGGCGAGGATGGAGGCGTTGCGGGTGCCGATGGACAGGCCGGCGAAGAGGGAGATAAGGCTCGTGGGGTTCGTCGAGGGGCGCAGCACACGGCTACAGCATGTTGCTACATGCAACGGGGTTAACCTCGGGGGCATGGCGACTGGTGGGTTGTGGCGACGGACTCGGGGGAGTGGTGATGCAGCCCAGGGCCTAAGGTTCGAGCTGCCGCCAAAATTTCCAACGGAGCCTCACGGAGCTGGCAGCCGCGTGCAAGCCACAAGGCGGGAGGTAGCGTGGCTGGTGACATCTGACCAAGCGTGGCTCAGAAAGAGTGGTTATGTCAGCTCCAATCGATAAGGCACCTTTGTCGTACCCGGTGCATGCAAGTCAGCAATGGAAACAGCGGCCCCTGGTCTGGAAGGGAAGCTCCCCCTAGTCAGTGCCCCAGCGCCCCCTCCGCCCCCCTCTGATGCACATGTTCAGCACCTGTGACAGGGCGTGTTTGCTCCGCATCAGCGTGCTCAGTAGCCAACGTTAGCGGCCCAGCGCAGGGCAGGAGCTGCAAGTCAGGCACAGACGATTCAGGCTTCGGCGCAGGTTTCCAGTCGGGTCCAGTCCATCACAGTCAGTCAGTCAGTCACCAGTGTCGTCAGCGTTCCCTCGTCCACGGCCCGCCTCGAGGGTGTCTCAAGCTTTACGCTTTCCGCCCCAGCTCCCCCTCCAAACTGGACGGACAACGGCGACAACAGACCAGCTCAGGCAAAGGTACAAAAAAAAACATCTGTCAAGCTTTTTATCGTTTGGCACATTTGCCTCCTGGTTTTCGGGGTCTCTGTCTGTGGACAACTGCGGTCGCATTGCGTGTGCCATTGCTTGGTCTTTTACGACAGACATCGTCGTCACCGTTCGCAGCTTGATCTTCACGGTGGGTGCAAGGTAGTGACTGCATCTCGGACTTGCGACTACACTGCTTCCTGACGCGGCCCAGCTTTACGTGCTCTTCTCTGCCTCACCTCCATCTCTCTTATCTGCCGCCCTGCACTGCTACCACTACACGGCACCGCGCCCTCTGCACCCCATTACGCATCAATTACGAGTCTAGCACCCTTCGCTGCGTCCTCGATTTCTCTCGACAGCAATTGGAGGGAACTTTATCGGCGTACAGCTCCCCGGTGCTACCCAACCCAATCGGCCCATACGCTACATCCAAATACCTCGTTTCGCAGATACGCTCGATCGCCATAATAACCGCCATCATGTCCCTCTTCGGTTCTTCACCACCAGGCGAATCGCCTTCGAATACCTCCGCCGCTCCTTCGCGATCTCTCTTTGACGAAGAGCCCATGTCCAAGTCAGGCTCCAATTCCCTCTTTACCGACGACGATTTCGCCGGCGCCGAAGGCTCGCCCTGGGACATGCCCACTCCGAGGAAGCAACAATCCCGCGCCGACGTCGTCCGCAACCTGCTGCCCCCCTCCGATGTGCCCGACGCCTACATCGAGACCTTCGACACCGTCGTGCGCGAGGATGGCAACGCGGGGCGCGTCAATGCAGGCGGCATAGCCAAGCTCTTTGCCGCTGCGCGCCTCGGAGCTGACCAGCAGGCGCAGATCATGTCCATGGTTGTCCCAGCTGCAGGTGGCGACATAGCTGTCGGACGCGGCGAGTTCAACGTCCTGCTAGCTCTCATTGCCTTGGCCCAGGAAAAAGAAACAACCAGCCTCGACGCCGTCGATGAGCGACGAAGAAGTACGTCTGCACCTGTCTCTCCATCTCATCTTCCCTTCTCCCGCAAGCTCTCGCACTTCCCCATGACGATACTCGGCCCCTGTTCGCCTAGCTATCGACTATCGACTTATCAGTGCGCAATCTGTGGGGTTCGCTGCTAATTGCCAATACACTAAACCAGACCTTCCACTCCCCAAGCTCGCAGGCCTGACTGCTGCTCCGGTGATGCCTCCCGTCTCCGAGCTTCCTGCCGCCAAACCTCCCACAGCTCCTCATACGCCGACCCCCGAACCTCCTCCATCGCCGCCCAAGCCTGCCAGCCTGCCCCAACCCCCGATGGACTTCCCCGAATCCGACGATCCATGGAACTCTCCCGATGTACACAAGGGTCACGCCCACGCCGCCGCTGAATCCCCCAGCAGGGCCAACGGTGCCAGCCCGCAGCGCCCGGCCGCCAACGGCAATGGCCACACCAATGGCAGCTTCGGCGCGTCGCCGAGCACCGCTATCGCAGGTCGCACCATGTCTTCTTACACGACAGCGACCGTTACCTCTGAGACAGCTTCCGCCCGCCAGAATGTAGTTCCCAGCACATCACCAGGTGGCTGGGGCGGCGGTTACTTTGATGGCAACAATACTGGAGGCGGCTTTAACGAACCCCCTCAGCCTCAGGTGACGAGTCCATTTGGCAGCGCCAGCCGTGGTGGACGCGAGCCGACCGGAAACGCTCCAAGCGCCCCTGCGTTGAGAACTTCCACGAGTGGGCGAACGGGAAGCAGCGTCGAGGAGAGTATCATTGTGACCCTGATGCCAGAGAAGGAAGGTCTGTTTATGTTCCAGCACCACAACTACGAGGTGTCGAGTATACGTCGGGGTAGCAAGGTCATCCGCCGCTACAGCGACTTCGTCTGGCTTCTCGACTGCCTGCACAAGCGCTATCCTTTCAGGGTGCTGCCTCTGTTGCCGCCCAAGCGTGTCGCTGGTAAGTTGAGGTATCGCAAGAACACGACCACGACTAACAAGACTAGTCAACGGCAACCACTTGTCCAATGATGGAGCCTTCATCGAGAAGCGTCGTCGGGGTCTGGCAAGGTTCTTGAACGCTCTCGTGCGCCACCCCGTTCTTAGCCAAGAGCAGCTCATCATCATGTTCCTCACTGTGCCAACTGTAAGTTTCCAACTTGTCGCTACAGCACCTTACACTGACAGCACCAGGAACTTTCCGTGTGGCGCAAGCAGGCCACCATTTCAGTTCAGGATGAGTTCCAAGGCCGTGTCCTTCCTCCCGGCCTTGAGGACTCCCTTCCTCCCACTCTCGAGGCTCTGTTCGACAAGACTCGCTCGGGCATCCGCCGTTCGGCTGAGTTGTACATTAACGTTTGCAACATCATGGATCGTTTGGTGAAGCGCACCGAGGGAGTTGCGGCTGACCATGCGCGCATCGCCCTGTCCCTCGCATCCTTGACCGAGACGAGCGCCGATACCTACGCAACTGACACCAACGAGGTGCCGCTGCTCAACGATGGCCTCAACTCCATGAGCCGGCATCTGAGGACTTGCCAGACCCTCATGGAGGACGAGAGTAAGGCTTGGGATGAGGGTGTCCTGGAGGACCTCAAGCGCCAGCGCGACGCACTTGTGAGCGTTCGCGAGCTCTTTGACCGCAGAGAGCGCCTGGACAAGGACAACATCCCCTATCTCGAGAGGCGCATCCAGACCAACGAAACGAAGTTGGCGAACCTCCGCAGCAAGCCTGAGGGCATGGTTAAGCCTGGCGAGATTGAGAGGGTAGTGGAGGCCATTATCAAGGTATGTCAAGGCTCCCCTGTCTTCCCCACACCAGCACTGACAGGCCGCAGGACAAGGAATCCATCGTCAGCCAACACAACCGCTCCATCTTCGTCAAGGAGTGCATCCGCGACGAGCTCATGTACTTCCAGAACACACAGTTTCACGTCTCTCGCTGGAACCAGGACTGGGCCCAGGAGCGCGTTAAGTACTCCGAGATGCTGGCCGACAACTGGCGTCGCCTGCTCGACGAACTCGAGGGCATGCCGCTCGGCGACTAGTCCTGTTCTTACGTCGTGTTTTCTTTCCCGGGTCAATTTCGATTTGCATACCCAGCGTTTTCACCTTCCATCTCTCTGGCGTTCCGGTCTTTCCTTGTATCCGCCAGATGTGTTCGACAATCCCCCATGTTGACTGTCAGCGGCAGTCTCCTAGTTTGTATGAAGATGTGTCGTTTCTTAGCGCAATGTCTCCAAACACCAAATGTACTTCTAAGAGCACGGACACGTTGCCGAATACCCTTTGGTTACGAAATTTGCTTAATACATGACCCCTAATTTCGTTGCTTACATGATGTTTGCATGATTTACACACATTGTCTTTGGAGTTGAATGGCGACGGTCTGATGTCTCGTTCGGCATAGTCATGCTGTATAATGTGTATGCCCTGGGTGAACTACCGGCTCAGTGAAAAAGGCGCGGCGAGCTTGATAGCTTCCATCTCCCTGAGGCAGACCACAGTGGATCCCAAGCCATTGCGAGATGGGCTCCCGGCGGTATAGGTGTGGTTTGAGCAAAGTTTGCAGCTTGAAATTCTTTTGGGCTCTCTACGCCTGCGATCTTTCTTCTCTGTTATCTCGTCCTCACCAGACTTTCTCATGTCTCTACTGGCTGTAGCTCAGGCATGGTAGCTGATGATGCTGTGAAACCATGCTCTTAGTCAACTATGATGAACTGTAATAAAAGTTCTTGAGTATCACTGTCTTTCTCGAGGTCTTATTCATTTCTATCCTAAAGTCATTTCTCTACCCTGGCTTAAGGTGGACCTCGTATTATTTGTTTTAAGCATACGACACCAGTGCCGAGCGCAGAATAAATGGCTTCAAATAGTCCTCACGGTATCATTCTAGTAGATGAGCTTTGTACTTTCTATCGTAGAGGCACACTTCTGATACTTCAAATATATATAAGTTGTACAAGTGATGCTTTTAAAACAAAACTTCCTCTCGCTGATCATAACCAACACATCGTATCCAACCAAGGCGCTAGTTCATGATTTTGCGAGGGACTGGAATGAAATGAACTCCAAACTTCGGACCTTTACCACATTTGATCTTCCAAACCTCCCGCAGGGCTTGGAGGGTCTTCGTGGAGTGACCTCTTCCGTCATGGAGCTGGTCCCGCGCCAGTCTCACCAGAAGACAACGTCCCAGAGCATTGAGGGCACATGGGTAGCGGGTCAAAGCTGAATCTGGACCTTCACTCTTTGGGTGAATGGTCTCTTAAGCAGTCTCCGCTAGGGCTTTGGGGGTATCGTGAGTTGTCGACTAGGGAAGCTGACCAGGTCCCCGAGTACTCTTCTCCCTCCAAGAATAAAAATCCATTTTCTTCCAGAATTTTCGTCAGCTTGTCTTTTTTTAATCCAGATCACCACTTTTTCGAAAAAGGCTTCTTTCACAAAAAGAAGCATTTTCTACAAAAACACACGTATCAAAGCACTTCGACGCTGCCTTCTCATCATGGCTGTAAGTGTCCATTGTTTCCCTTGAAGCCTACTTTTGTCGAGCCTTTTCTTTTCTGAAAATTCATTCCGGGGGGTCTTTCTTCGTTGATTGACACCGAGGAGATACTGTTTACCTTTCTTTTCAAGTCCTCCTTTACCCCTTTTCCCCCATCTCCTGATATCATCAGGCCATTTCCACCTGGTTCTATTCCACTGACGATTCAAATAGCGCCGCCGCGCCAAGGTCTATGACCAGCATGGGAATGAGGTTCGGAACGAGCATGGCGACTGTACATATGCCAATTACGACGCCGACGACGCTATCCGCCTCTGCAAGGAGGGAGGACAGTACGGTCGTCCCGAGTTCATGGATTGGAGATATTGCTCCAGAGCAAAGCATTGTGCACCTCCTGCGGATTTTCGGGACGGCGACCGGGATGACTTTCTCGTCTGCAAGAAGTATAACCAGCAGTCCTGGAAGTCCAAGCAGGAGGCCAAAAAGAAGCCGCACCTAGTGCGCACTACCCAGGCCACGCCACGCGGCCCCAGAACTCCCAAGAAGGCCAAGGCCACCAAGACCGGCAGAATCGAGAAGAGCGTCACGCCCAAGAAGACTGAGGTCGCCGCCACCCCCATCCCCAAGAAGGGCAAGAAGGACAAGAAGGAGAAGAGCGAGCTGTTCGTCTCCTCTTCGGAGGAGAGCGACGACGAGGATGGCGAATACGAGACGGATGTCGACATGCCTACCGTCCACATTCCCCGCCGCCACCCCGGCCCTGACGACGATGGTCCCGGTGGTGGCATGGGTGGTGGCATGGGTGGCCATCTTATTGCAGTTTAAGGGAACGAAATGCCATACAGAGTGCGATCGAGCCTTTTGGGAGGCGGTTAAGGCTTAGATGGAGATTTGTGGCCAGACCTGGCGTATGGCAATACAGAATACAAGAAGACATCTCTGGAGTCAGTTGTCGATCGTTCCGAGTTGCCCGCGTGTATGCCGAATATCCTGCTCCGTGAAGTTGTGTACGAGAAAATATGTCGACTGAATATCGTGACTCGTGAGCGTTTCCCACGATTGGCATTTACTTCTTCGTGTAAGTGAAGGCATTGTATAGAGGAGGACAATCCATAGCCTCAAGACTGTCCTTCGCTCCCATGAAGCAAGTCTCGGTAGGGCTTGACAAATAGCATGAATTCGAGATTTGCGGTGGTATGCGTTCTTAAGATGTCTGAGATGGAAAATTGGTGTGATTTTGGATGTATTCAATTATTCATAACCATGTATACGCCCTTCTGCTGGAATAATCAGTGTTTTGGGTGATAGCGTTATGCTAGCCTTGTCACAGCAGAATATTCCAGACAAACTCTACATACGCAAGTAATCCCGCGAGCCAGGCTTAGATCTTCACTTCTCAGGTGAACAGCGTGATGTTTGAACCCTCTTAGGGCTTTGATGACATTGCAATCTCAAGCTTTACCAAGTGATGTCCGCAGGTCTCTCGCGAACTCACTTCTTTCACCAGGTATAAGAAGACGTCTTCTTGGCAGATTGTCCAACCAAGTCTTTTCACATTCTTTCAGACTCGATTCACAACAGACATCGAACTTCCGACCCTCGACCACCGACCTCTGTGACCTCCGACTCTCAACCACCGACCTCCCAAACCCCAAACAACCACCTATATCTACAATGGGCTCCGACCCCCATGCCGACTCTGGCGAGTCGTCTTCTGTAAGTCGAATCCCACCCTGAAGCCCCCTCTCGTCCCCTCTCCCCCCTCTGCCCCCTCTCTACCTTACACACAAACACACACACACACACACACACAAACACACATATGTATACATACCTACGAACAAAACAATTCTATCTCCTCCTGCCCCAGTTCGATTTATGCATACAAGAGGCTAACATCAACCTAGGAGGAGGAGCTCCTCCCCAATGACGCCAAGGGAGACCACTCTTCCTGCAACCTCACAAGCTACAAAAAAAGGGGCAATCATGAGATGAAAGATCTCGCCCGACCCTGCCTGCACAACCCTAAGGAGCAGTGTTTCTGTTCGAGCCACCGGGGCTGTATGCCAAAGACCCAGTTCACAGATACTGAGGGCGCTATCTCCCGAAAGACCTGCATCAAGTGCAGGTTTCGAAGCGCGAACAGGGCGAAGAAGACCCCCGAGGAGCGGGCCAAGGCCAAGGCACTCGCCAAGACCCGCAAGGTTCCGGGAATGTCGAACAAGAAGAGCACCAAGGGAACCATCACCGGCAGAGTTGTGAAGACGCCTACCAAGAAGAACCGCTCTGGCAAGCGCTCCGGCAAGAAGAGCACCGAGAAGAGTGAGCTCTTTGTCTCATCCGAGTCCGAGTCCGAGTCTGAAGAGGAGGATATGGCCGACGATCACCCGAAGGGCACTGGCTACCGCCAGACGCCCGATGATGAGGACGATGCCCCTGGCCAAGATGGTTCTATGGGCGGAGGTCTTCCGGGAACCATCATCGTTGCTTGAGCCTTAGCCGACTGTCTCTGCCGGGCTCAGCTAAGGTGCGGTACTTGATTGAGAGGGCTTTTGGCAGTGATTCCAAATACAGGAAGGCACTTGGAGAGTTGGAGGTGTTTCTATACTATAGATACCCAAAAGAACGCTCCTCGAGCGGATTGCTCCTTGACTAATAACAGCATCTTCCCATCTCACTCATGTCCATTCATGTCATATGTTGTTCAGACTTCGAAAGAAATGGTATGCACTTGAGGAGAGGCCGGCAAGTTCTAATCTGGCTTAGATTCCTCTGCAACAAAACCTCTTCGAGCAAGCCCCCTCTTAGAGCAGATAGCAGGCTACGAATGGGGAATCAAAGAACTTCGTCAAGTGCGCCCCCATATGCCAAGCCGAGCCTTGGCTCGCGACTCGTGGTCATGGTTGTCGTCTTATTGGGCAACGTTGAAGGGGCCAAGCATGCTTGTGAGACCATGGCTTTGCTTAGGATCCCAAGAATCGTGCGAGATGACGACGAGGGGTCTAGACGTCCTGCTTGTAAGATACTCCCACAGCCACGGCCAAAAAGACCCTCAATGTGTGGCTTACTGTCCAAGACACTGACACGTGGGAGCATCAGAGCCTGGAATCAAGAAGCTGAGACCGAAATGGCCGCACTCTATTAGCAAGAGAAATGACGCAACATGAAGTAAAGGCATGGCTGACACTGAGATCTCGGCCTGCGCTCTTTCACCGACTGGCTATCAACTACTTGGCATCCAGACTAAGTTGGTGGTGGTGTAGTCAGACGGAGGCTATGTCAAGCCCCGAAGAGTATAGATGATTCTTCGGATTCCTGGGTAAAGAATATTCATCTCAATAAACCAACGACATCCTGTTTGCTTCCTTCACGGATAATATGCTGAAAGCATCAGCTCCCGAGCTTCAAATCGCGAGTTTTACATTATCTTTTTGGTTCCTTATCAAAACCTTTTGCTGAAAGACTAAATTGAAGAATTACAAAAGCAAGGCTGGAAGCAAGTACCGGAAAATGTGTCTCTAATGATGGGCACTGACCCAGAATTACACAAACTTCCCCGGACGGAGTGCGCGCTCTCCGCAAACCACCGGTCCGACACTCGCAGCGATGGCGCAGCATGATCGGCAAGCATCTAGCTGTCATGGACTTTAACACGCCGAAGACGACATCCCCGGGCTCCGTGCGAGCCGTCTTGCCGGTACATAAGTGTACGCCTATTTCCTACTACGGTCGTCTTTGGTCCGCTGCGGTCCAACCGCCTTATTGAGCGAGAGTCCACGACATATGGACTTACTCTCGTTTACCACAGCTCTAGCGCGAGGGTTTTAGAGGCTGGTATGCAGTGAGGTGTGCGTACGTTCTTGATCAGCTGGATCGTCGACCCCTCCATCATTATGAGAAGACTATTTGAAGCCCGCGGACCGCGGCACCGCGACATCGGGTACGCTGCCCACAGCACATGCCAAGTACAGATCACCGAGGATGTCAAGATCGCTGCTCAATCTGGCCAGAAACACATTTCCAAAAGAACAACCAAAGCAGCCCAGATCCCAAACAGGAATGAGGGAGGAAACCACGGGACCGATCCCGACGACACCATCCGCCAACCTTCTTCGCTTAACCTCGTCAATCATTGCCCATCGTCTGAACCATCGAGCTAACGTGCTAAGTATGCTTCTCAACCGAGAATTTCCCTCACCGCTCTTCACACCATCTTCGCCCTGCTCAGTTTCTCCATTCGAACATTCGGTATCATTTCCTCGTATTATCCCGTTCTTCCTCTTGCATCGGCATCATCACTTGCATCTATCACAGAAGAACCACTGAGTTTTGGTTTGCCGTCGCGCCGAAAAGGGAACCAAAAAGTAACCTTCTTATCTGGTCGACTCGAAACGGCAAGGCTGGGCCAACAACACCCCGGCCCGGTGCCGACGCCGCGCAGATCAATAGATAATGCAACACGATATGGGCCGGGAAGATACTGCGCGCTCAACGGAGGATCTTGATAAACTAACAATCCTCCCAGGCGACTTGCATTATCGTAGTCGATGAGATGGAGGGATTGATAGGGAATGACAGCTTGAGTTTATAACAGTCTAGTAGCGCCCGCGCTTCTCGGCCGCCGCACACGATTTCCTTCTGACCACCTTCTCGAACGCCTCGCCAGAACGGGGCATCCGGCAGCTCGGCACCGAATTGCGACGGTCAGACATCGTATCCGCAAAATGGTCGTGAGAACTAGTCGATTTAAGAGGCGGAGGACATGGGGGATGTGCCGTGTTTCCCGACGACCCATTGGGATTACTGTCGATTGGAGGTTTAAATGGAGGCTTGCCCAGACGAACGCGATGCGATGTACTTGCTTGCGACAAACCGACGTTCATGATTGACACGGGGTTTTTAACAGCGACAGCACCGAGAGAAGCGGTTGGCGCCACGCACAGGACATGAAGGAGGCCGACGGTCACAGACTCACCCCGCGATTTCCATCACAAAGGATATGAGAATGGGTTCGATTGGATGCTGACGGACGACGCTTGCCCGCAATCTGAAATCGAGAGATGGCGACAATCACGACAAGGTGAAACTGAGGAAGTTGACTTATCAATTGAAATTAGGAACCCTCCAGCAAATATGTATCGCACATCTATCTTCGGCCGTCAATGCTCATCCAGTTCGATCGCGTCTCGGCGCATTAATCGACCTTTTTTCTACCAAACATACCTTTGACACCGGCCGATGAGAGAAGAAAGGAAACGACGAGCAAGGAGAACTCCGAGGTATTACATCCATCGTTATCCGTGTGTTGCGTCCGACCCGCCGTTTGCTCCAATATACATCTCCTAGCAAACAACAGCGCCAGACTTCATGGGAAACCCCGGTGATTGGAGGAAAGGGAGGAAAAGGAGGGAAAAAAAGAGAAATATTCGTGAAAGCATTACAGAGGGAATGGTGGGATTGGGCGACGATGACGATGAGGAGAACGCCACCTTCAGCCCAGCGCAGCCGCAACCCTTGGCCTTCCGGACCTTAGTTGCACCACATCTCAACACGTGTGCTCTGCAGTTGGCTCAGGACATCGAAATCAAGCCCACTCTGTCTGAACGCAACGATGATCATGTCGAATCGCTCTTCCAACGACTTAACGTTCCAGCCCTCGACATCATTCAGGCGGGGGATCTGTGGTACCGCCTCCTGCTTGACGAGGGGATCGGCCCAGCAAACATCGACCTTCTCAGACAATACGAGGCTCTTTGCAAGCTCGAGCCCAGGAGAGTTTGCCAGGTGGGACTGGCCCTTCTTGAAGCCCATGCCTACGACGAGGA